ACGGAGAGAACGTAACTCAACATAAGAAAAGCCATATATGACAAGCCACATCATACTCGATGGTGAACGCTGAAAGCTTTTCCTCTATGACCAGCAACAAGGCAAGGATACCTACTCTTGCCACTTTTATTCAACATACAATTGGCCCTTGAACAACGCAGGGGTTAGGGGTGCCAAACCCCTGTGCAGTCGAAAATCTGAGTATAACTTCTGACTCCCCCAAGATGTAACTACTAATAGCCTACTGTTGCCTGGAAGCCTTACCAATAACATAAAGTCAATGAACACTACTTTGTATGTTAGATGTATTAAATACTGAATTCATACAGCAAAGTAAGCTAGAAAAAAAATGTTATTAGGAAAATCCTAAAGGAAAATACATTTACAGCATTGTCTGTATTTATTGAAGAAAAATTCACGTATTAAGTGGACCACACAGTTCAAACCCATGTTGGCCAAGGGTCAACTGTAGTACTGGAAGTCCTTGACAAAGCAATTACACAAGAAAAATAAATAAAAGGCATCCAGATTGGAAAGTAAGAACTAAAACGGCCACTATTTTCAGATGACATGGTATTTTATAAAGAAAACCCTAAAGACGACACCAAAAACTACTAGAATAACAAATTCAGTATAAGTTGCAGGATAAAAAATACACAAAAATCTGTTGCATTCTGATACACTAATAATGAACTATCAGAAAAATAAATTTAAAAAACAATCACATTTTGGGGTGCCTGGGTGGCTCAGTCAGTTAGGCATCCAACTCGACTTTGGCTCCGGTCATGATTCACAGTTCGTGGAACTGAGCCCTGTGTTGGGCTCTGCACTGATGGCGTGGGAGCTGTGCTTGGGACTCTCTCCCTCTCTCTCTGTCCCTCCCCCGCTTGTGCGTGAGTGTGTGTGTGCGCGCGCACACACACACACACTCTCAAAATAAACTTAAAAAACAAAACAACAATCACATTTACAATTGCATAAAAAAAAAAATACTTAGAGATAAATTTAACCAAGGAGGTGAAAGACCTGTATACAGAAAACTATAAGCCGTTAAGGAAAAAAAAATTGAAGACAACACAAATAAATGGAAAGACATTCGTGCTCAGGGGTTAGAAGAACAGTGTTAAAATGTCTACACTACCCAAACCATCTACACATTCAATACAATTCCTATCAAAATTCCTATCACATTTTTCACGTAAGACAATCTTTAAAATTTGGAGTCACAAAAGGCTCTGAACAGCAAAGCAATCTTGATAAAGAACAAAGCTGGAGGCATCATGCTCCCTGGTTTCAAACTCTATTACAAAGCTATAATGATTATTGGCATCCTGGCATAAAAACAAACACACAGATCAACCGAACAGAAGAGAGAGCCCAGAAATAAACCCACACATATGTGGTCCAGTACCTTATGACAAAGGAGCCAAGAATATCCTAGGGGGAAAGGACAATTTCTTTAATAAATGGTGTTGGGAAAACTGGACAGTCACATGCAAAAGAATGAAAGTGCACCACTATCTTATAACATACACAAAAATGAACTCAAAATGGATTAAAGACGTGAATGGAAGACCTGGAACCATAAAACTCTTAGCAGAAAACATAAGCGACAAGCTGCTTGACGTAGGTCCTGGCTTTGGATCTGACTCCAAAAGCAAAGGCAACAAAAGCAACAATAAAATAAGCAAAACTACACCGAACTAAACAGCCTGTGCCCAGCAAAGAAAACCACCACCACCACCACCACCAACAACAACAACAAAAAAACAGGCAACCTACTGCATGGGAGCAAAGATTTGCACATCACATACCTGATAAAAGGTTAATACCTAAAATATATAAAGAACACATACAACTGAATAATAAAACAACCAAACAATGTGGTTAAAAAATGGAATTATCCAAATAGATATTTATCCAGAGAAGACATACCGAGAGCCAACAGGTACGTGAAAAGATGCTCAACATCAGTAACCATCAGGAAAGTACAAATCAAAACAGTGAGATCTCACCTCACACCAGTTTAGAAGGGCTCGTATCAAAAAGACGAGAAATAACAAACTTTGGCAAGAGTGTGGAGAAAATGGAACCCTGATGCACTGTTGGTAGGAACATAAGTTGGCAGAGCCACTATGGGAAAAAGTATGAAGGTTATTCAAAAAATTAAAAATAGAACTACTCTACGACCCAGCAGTTTCTCTTCTGGCTATTTATCAACAAAACAAAACAAAACAAAACCAAAACACCTATTTGAAAAGATATGTGAACCCCCATATTCATTGCAGCATTATTTACAATAGCTAAGTATGAAAACAGCCTATGTGTCCAGGGAGGGATGATTCGAGAAAAAAGATGTGGTATATCTATATAAAATGAAATACTATTCACCCATAATAATGAAATCTTTCCATTTGCAAAAACAGGGATGGACCCTGAGGGCCTTATGTTTAGTGAAATAAGGCAAACACTAGATGACATCACTTAAAAAAATTTTTTTTTTTTTTTTTTT